GCGGACCTGGGTTCAAAGCTCGGCTCTGCCTCGTGCGCGCTCTGCCCTTTGGTGTCTGCCACCCGGGCCTTCGGAGCAGTCGCTTTTCCCGCTCTCCTTTGCACGGGATACGGTGGAATCCTGCGTGCGAACCAAGCCCACGATGGTGGGAAACACGATGGTGCTGGAACCTGGGCAGAGCGAGGAGGGGGACACAGTGCAGAGGAGACAGTGGGGTCTCCTTCGTCCTTGACACCCACGTCTTCCCCCCTCGTTTCCCCCCAGCAAGGCGTTTCCATCAGCCAGTTCTGCAAGGAGTTCAACGAGAAGACGAAGGACATCAAGGAAGGCATTCCTCTGCCCACCAAGATTTTCGTGAAGGTGTGGAGTCGGTGCTCCCCCTCGCTGCCCCCCTTAGTCCTGCACCTGGTCAGCTGAGGGTGCTTCTCCTCTCCTGAACTGGAGCAGGTCTCCCCCAGCCTCTGGCCACACTTTCCCATTTATGCCAGAACCTGGCATGTTGGGGTTCTTCTCTTTGTTCCTCGGCCTCACCCCAGGCTCTTAGCCCGAGTTGGGCTTGGAATCGAGGGGCCAGGTGTGTTTGCTGCAGAGTCCTTTGCCCCTATGATTATGGGGTGTTTGCTGCGGAGTCATTCTCCTCTATGGTTATGGGGTGTGTTAGATGCCATGGGAAGGCAAGTTGAAGAAAGGGGGCCTGGAAGTCAGAAGTGGCTTGGACTGGGGTGAGCAGAAAGAGACAGTCTCACATGCCCTCTTTCTTTGAAGCCTGACAGGTCGTTTGAAATCAAGTTTGGACTGCCCACTGCTTCCTATTTCCTCAAGGCAGCAGCTGGGATTGAAAAGGGGGCCCGGAACCCAGGTGAGGACTTAGGGTGAGAGGGGCTCCCAGGGAGGAAGCAATGATACTGAAAGGGCTGCTTGTTCTTTCCTCCCAGGAAAAGAGGTGGCAGGCTTGCTGACCCTGAAGCACGTGTATGAGATAGCCTCTGTCAAAGCTAAGGATGATGCCTTCGCCCTGCAGGGCGCGCCTCTGTCCTCTGTCGTCCGCTCCATCATTGGCTCTGCTCGGTCCCTGGGCATCAAAGTGGTGAAGGAGTGAGTGCCCCCAGGAGGTGGGGTGGGGTGGGTGGGTGGTGATCAAAGCTGGCAGCTCCACAGTAGGGAGGGTCCGCTTCTGACTCTCATTCCTGCTCTCGTCTCATTCGGATCTGGTCATGAAGCAGCTATACAGTCAGAGTCTTTGCACATTCGATTCAGCCAGGGACAAGGCAGTCCTGCTTGGTCCTGCACCTTCGGAGCTCAGAGTCCACCCTGTAAACGGGGTGCTGGACCATCAGATGGTCAGTGTGCCAGAAAGAAGTGTGGGCCTCATGGGAGCAGAGGAGCATGTCCCTGAGTTTGCCTGGTGTGTCTGGGATGGATCTGTGGGAGAGGCCTGGAAAAGGTACCTGCAGCCAGGACATGGACTAAGGGGGAAACTGTCCCAAGAAGTAGAAAGGTGTGAAAGCTGGAAGGCAAGAGACTGAGGCAGAGAAGCTCTCATGGGAGGGCGCAGTGCCAGGGCCGAGTGGAGGTGAGGGGAGAGACGAGGGCCTGCTCACGTGGTCCCAGGGGTCCCTGTGCATACCTCAGGCATAATTTCACTTCAAGTAAGATGTTGTTGGGTGGCCCAAAGGCAAGGAGGGTCGACACTGTCCCATGACCCCTGCACTGACCAGCAGTGAAGAGTTGACTCTCCTGGTCTCTTGCTGCCTGTACCCCACCTCAGGTCTGGGCTGTAGTCACGTGTTTCCTAAGAAGAGTAGGGTCTTGTTGAGGAGCTGAGATGGACATGAGTTTCCTCGAAGCTTGATTTTTCTGGGTAGGACACCTGCTGTGGAAGAGGTGCATGCCAAGGGGACAGAAGGCAAGCCTGGTAGAGTGACATTCCTGGCCAAGGGAACAAGTACGAGAGACATAAAAGAGGCTGGGAAGTAAAGGGAGAGAGCAGGGGGCAACTTGTGCGTCCTCACCAGACGAGTCCCTCACCTGCTGTCTGGTTTTTCCCCTGCAGCCTCACCTCCGAGGAGCTGGCAGCTTTCCAGAAGGAACGAGCAGAATTCCTGGCTGCTCAGAGAGAGGCAGATTTGGCAGCCCAAGCAGAAGCTGCCAAGAAGTGACCTCTGCTCCCCCATTGCCAGATTTGGAAGGGGCCGCTGCCCAGAGCCTAGCAGGGAATACTGTGTTCAAGGAGCAAGAGTGAGGGAGGTCACGGCTGGCCTGACTGCTATCTCGCTCCCTTTAAATGGGTATTTTTAAACGTATGTTTGGAAAGGGATCGAGCCTGAATAAATGTCGTTTGTCGCCCTCTCTGGCCTCTGTCTTGGGACCACAGGGGCAGGGCCACATGGATGATGGTCAGCGTGGACACGTGTAAGTAGTCCTGGAAAGGAAAGTGCTGGTGTTCATTACTTCGGTCGACAAAATCTTGAGACTAAACGAAGCAGCTCACCTGGGTTCTGAGATGGCTGTAGAGATATGTGGAGAACCAGCATGTCCTGTTATAATCCTCTGCTGTCCCCTCCCCAGAGGTACGAGCATGCGTGGGGTAAATGGCCACTGTGGTCACAAGCAGGCTTTGCTTGTTTCCTCATTAGAGAGGCTTGCTGTCCTAGTCAGGGTTACTAGACAGCACCCCAGGTGGCAGGGGCTGCTCCGGACCCATCTCCCGAGCTCCTCACCCGTTCCCTAGATCTGATGTTGGCTGGACATGAACAATTATGAAGCTCAAAGCTATAGACTCTCAGAAGAAGCCGAGCTTGAGTGGGACCTGTCCAAGGCAGAAGTCCCTGGGAGGCTCCACTGTTCAGAGCATCAGATGGGTGTTCTCAGGGCAAAGAAGAGTATTTGAGGGAGGAACAGGAACATCTGTTACATCCGGTCTGAAACCGACAGACAGCTGAGACACCGCTGTCTAATCGTTCTGCAAGCTTCACTCGACAGATCACAAGCTGGACAGCTTTTCCTTCCTGAATGCCGATCAACTAAGATGTTCAGGGTCCTTTAATATCATTTCATCAGCACCTTCAAACAAAAAATGTTGATTGGTTGACAACAACTCTGTCAAAATATGTCACCCTCCTAAGAGCAGAATGTGCTCAAAACATCAGGGTTTAACTAGAACCTCAACTTTCTTTTTTTTTTATTTTTTTATTATTATTTTTGTGTGCGTGTACCGTCAAATCTGATCTGACTGGTACAGGAGGAGATTGCCCCTCCTTCCCCGGCAGAGCATCTGGTGGATTTGAACCGTGCACCTCTGGAATTGTAGTTGCAGCTTCTTGCCACTAGGCCACCAGAGCTCCCCCCTCAACTTTCAGAATCATGGGTACAGGAGATCGGGGGGCTCAGAACATGCTCTTAATCTTTGATTGTTTTCTGAAAGGATATTTCAGGAGCCTTGTCAAAGTTAAGAGTTCAAGGCATCACTGTAGGGGCGAGATCTGTGATGGTGTATTCATGAATAGATAGTTCATACATGTTAACATTTGATGAGATGCCCTTTAGAATTGTGGGCAGGTGAACTCTGTTTTCATAAAGCAGAACATTTAACTTCATAATCCTAACACAGATAGCTCAGTTACTGTTGAGCTGATTCATGTGTGCAGAGTAGACTAAGGCAGTGACCTTTATTGTTTTTTTTTTCTTGTATAACTTTGAGTCAGATCTGACAGCACAGGAAGAGATTGGCCCTCCTTCTCCAGCAGAGCATCTAGTGGATTCAGATTATGTGCCTTCGGGATTGCAGTGCAGCTTCTTGCCACTAGGCTACCAGAGCTCCCTGAGACCTTGGAAAAGTAGCCGGTCAGGCTATTTTCTGAGGGACCTCCAGGCTGGTTCAACTTGCCCACTTTTTGGTTAGTGGTTAGTATTTAACAAGCCATACCACCTGAGCTCTCCTGTTATGTACTGCATTGTTTATTTTACACTGAGATGGTTTGGAAAGTATAGAAAAATAATTTTTTTAAAATCCTGTTACTACCTCTACAATGACACTCTAAGTGATAGTTGATATATTTTGTCCACTATTCTTTTTGGGTGTTTATATTTCTATACAGTGTTTACTTCTTTTTTTTTTCTTTACGATTTTTTTATTAAGATTAGGGTCACTATGAGTTGCAGGTGACCCAATGGCATATAACACCAAACAGCACAAGATTACTTTTGGTATAAGGCATAACTCATAAGTGAGTAAAAACTCACTGAGGCTTTTACATCTCTATGTTGCCTCTGAAAACTCTATGAACTTGGAGAAATGAAAATAGTTATAGAAAGGCTACAGGCCTTATGCTCATAGGGTCGCTATGAGTCATGCTCAACTCAACATCATTCTTCAACAGCAGCAACAACAATGTTGCTGTTGTTGTTGGCACTATCTACAGTGTTTACTTCTCTAGTAACTTACCCTGTTATTTTGAGTAGAAGTTTACAGAGCAGGCTGATTTTCCATCCCACATTTTGTGCTTTTTTCCATGGTGTTGGTTGCAATCCCTACAATGTAATAGCACTCTTCCCATTCCCTCCCAGGGTTTCCTGTTTCCACTCACCCTGCTTTTCCTAGAAGCTTTCTCGCCAGGCAAATGCTGCCCTATGATCTCATTGTGATTGGCTGTTCTAGGGAGTTCATACCTCCCGGTTCATCCAATAGCCTGTCTCTCACCTTTGACCAAGATTTGAGTCATGGTAGTGATTTCAGTTCCAGGCTTGAAGATTGCCTGTCTGCATCTTGGGGAGTTTTATAATACTTTTTTTAAAAAAAAAACACCAGAAAGTAATTTGGAGCCATGTTTTGTATCATCTTGTATTCCCACTTTGAACTTGAAAATTATTTAGACCATTTCCCCCTTTATCTTTCTAAAACAAATCTTTACGACTACTCAGTGTTCAGTCTAAATGTGGAAATTATTTCTTTCCCTAGTCCTCAACTGCTGGGTATTTAGCAAACAGCCCTGAGATACTCATTCTTGGAGAAACTTTTTTTTCCCCAAAAAAACCCTGTACCAGCATTTCATCCTCACAACACCCCATGAGGTGGGTCAGTATGTCTTTTAGAATGGAGAAACTGGAGGTCCAGTGAACTGAACCTCCTGAGGCCACAGAGGCAGCTGGTGAGGGGGGACCTGAATTCAGGAACCGGGGCTCTGGGTCCCTTCACCTGCTGCTGGACATCACAGAAGGTATATTGCCACTAGAAGATACGATCTCTAAGCCAACAAAGGAAAATAAAACAACGGTTCAAATGTTATCAGGGAACATGTCAGGGACAGGATGTTAATAAGCTTGTTAGGGAGGCAAGAGAACATGCAGCTCAGAAATTGGGGGCTTGTGGGACCCTAGGATAAGGCAGACCAAGGCATCCTTCAGGACAGCTTGGGGAGATGTAAACAGACTAAGAACCCATCGAAGAGCAACCAACCCTGAGGTTTCCTGATTGGAGAAAATTTAGAAGACAGAAAACCAAAGCACACAGTCTAAACTGGGAATGCCATGGTCATACTCATTTAAATTCGGATTAGAAAGGCTGATGGTGTTTGCTATGTAACTATTAACACTCTCTTCTCTCCACATTACCACCTTTTATCTCAGATCATCTAACCCTCTGCAGACAGTCCTGCTCCAAGAGCGACTGTTCTGTGGTGGACACTGGGTTTGGTACTGTTGCTGACAGTGGAAAATGTGATGAGCACAGGCTTGCCTTCAGTGCTTAGATGGGGAGTGGATTTTAACAAGTCAGTACCCCCGAATTTAGTCATAACTGTGATACTAGTAAATGGCCACTGCCAGGCTAGGAGGGTGCAGAGGGCAGGACCAGCCCGGGGACACGGTGAGAGCTTGCCAAAGGTAGTAGTTTTGCACTGAGGGTGCTGTGTTAGTCTCCTGCGGCTGTTTTAACAAATTGCTATAATCTAGGCAAGTTAAGACAGCAGGAATGTATGTATTCTCACCGTCCAGAAGACCAAAAGTACAAAGTGGGGATCTGAACGAGACTCTGTCCTGCGCCTCTCCCTACCTTCTGGGGGTCACTGGAAATCCTTGTGCCCACACAGCAACATAGCTTCTGGTCACTGCTTTCTGCTGTCACGTCGGCTTTAGCCGTGTGTGTGTGTGATACCACAGGGAACCCAGCACCCAGAGTTGCTGTGTGTGTGTGTGTGTGTGTGTGTGTGTGTGAAAGAGAGAGAGAGAGAGAGGTCACAGGGAATCCAGCACCCAGAGTTGCTGTGTGTGTGTGTGAGAGTGAGAGAGAGAGATCACAGGGAACCCAGCACCCAGAGTTGCTCTGTGTGTGTGTGTGTGTGTGTGTGTGTGAGAGAGAGAGAGAGAGAGATCACAGGGAACCCAGCACCCAGAGTTACCCTTTCTTAGTGCCTATCCTGGTGGGTCAAGAAGATCTTGGTGAGCTGGAAAGCGGGGTGAGACCCAGAGTTGCTCTGTGTGTGTGTGTGTGTGTGTGTGAGAGAGAGAGAGAGAGAGATCACAGGGAACCCAGCACCCAGAGTTACCCTTTCTTAGTGCCTATCCTGGTGGGTCAAGAAGATCTTGGTGAGCTGGAAAGCGGGGTGAGGCCCAGAGTAGAGTGCTGATTTTTCCCTTCAGCCTAAATTCTGAAAACTAGAATGACTGCGTTGCAACTCCATCTTTAATCACACAATCACATAATGGAGGTACAGTTACCCTCATTTTAAGCCACATCAGATGCACCGCTGTTGAGTTTGAATGCAACTCCTAGCAACCCTGGGGACTGGGTAGAAGCAGCCCACTGGGTTCCCAAGGTTGTAAACCTTTGCCCAAGCAGACTGTCACTTCTCTGTCCTGCAGAGCAACAGGAAGGTTTGAACCACTGAATACTAGGTTAGCAGCTCAGTGCTTTATCCATTGACCGTCCAAGCTTCCTTTGTACCCATTTTAGTGATGAGAAAAAGTGAGGCCTAAAAGTTAAGTGACTTGCCCATGATCACTCCCAACCCTATACTTCACTGAGGAAATAAAATTACCCTCAGACAGAAAACTCCCTCTTCAGTCAAATGTACAGACCTACCATCTTCTTCCTCTTCCCCTGTGACACTGGGATTTTCTTGTTCCCTCAGAGACGATGCCTTCACCTTGGCTAAGCGTCCTG